TATTAAAGAATTAAAATTAATGTAGAAACTTTTAAAAGTTTAAAATGTTAAAAAATTAATGTAGTTACTTTTGATTAAAGAATCAAATTTGAGAAATTATTTTTCAAATTTACTTTGGATGTTATCAAGTGATTCATATGAAATTATAGTCTTGCATCAATGTCTTTTGTCATTATTTCTTTCCAGTCTTTGTTTCCATTCTTGTGCCGTTTGTATCGTTTCTCTAACAATTCTATAGCTTTTCTCAGAAGAAGTACAACAAATATCTGAACATACGCGTTATCGCTATCCGATAAGAGTATGCAAGGGAATGAAATTCAAGCCCGAAATAGATCATTACGAAATTCATTCTTTCCATTCATTTTGAAGTGTGTTGCAGCGAAACGAGTACAGAATCTTGTTAATTTTACACTGATACTGTCTCGCAAATAATTTTTCAACAAATTCTATTAAAAAAAAATTTACTGCCTTGTAGCCTGACTTTTATTTTTGCGTAATGAAATGATCAGCAACCATGAATGAAAGAAGTAAGATAGAACGATTATAAATAAATATATATATGTTTATACTGAGTAATATATCTTTCAGCGGTCAGTAGTTGCCAAAAATCACATAACGTCATCGATTACGTTAAAAACTGACGATCACATATAGTAACTTGCTTGTTTGTCGATGAACTAATTTATATAAAGTGTAGAAAGAATAGGATTAGAAAATTGCAACGAGAGATGAGAATTCACATTGAAAATGAATATCGCCCGATTTTTGTTGTTGACATGGAATATATTAATATCGGGGCCAATTAAGTAACAAAACGAGTAACATCGTTTAAAAATGTGACTCTGCGAAATTGATTAGCGGTAAATCTGTCACGTGTCGACATCGAGATGGCAAAAGAATTAATTCCGGATATGAGTCACGCGGACTCGTTACCATTTGCATTCGTGCTTGCCTTTACCGAACCTGACGAATAAAAGTCGAATCTCGTGTTATAAATAGTCTGCATAGACATGTTACAAATAGATCTTCGTGCATTCATAAAACATAAAAAAAAAAAATGCAAACAAGACGA